TGTCTGTCTGTCTGTCTGTCTGTCTGTCTGTCTGTGTGGCAGTGGTGGGTTTCAAAATTTTTTGGAACTTCTTCTGTAGGTGTGGCCTGCTTTCCGGGTCCACTGGTGGAACCTCTTCTAACCGGTTCGGTAGATTTGACGAACTGGTTCTACCGAATAGGTGCGAACTGGTAGGAACCCACCTCTGGACTGGGGATTGGGGAATCCCTGCTTTATACCATTCTTGGGCTGACAAACATCACTATTTCTCTAGTCATCCTATCTCATCTTCTTCTATATGGAATGTTGTCTAAACTATTTTTCTTTTTTAAATTTCCACATTCAGTCTCATGGAAAGCACCACCATCATCATGAAAAACCATTGATGGCACACAGTAAGGATCTCCCTTTAAAGCATCTAGTTTTCCAGAGTTCGGAAGAGAACGCTTATTTGGATTCTACGTGGAAAGGACTTACGGCCCTTGGAGGATTATATTTTATGTTTCTTGTTGAGCACTTGATCACATTAATTAAACAATTTAAGGATAAGAAAAAAAAGGTGAGAAACTACTGGTTTTCATCAGTTTTGTTTTGCTTAAATTTTCTTTTATGAGACTATTTGAAAGTAATGCTTATAACCAATTTATATAATTATGTTTTCACTGGATATTACTTTTCTGTAATAGTCTCAGTTACTTAGATTTCACCATCACAGAGGAGGTTTTTCAAAGGAAAAAAACCCTGATATATCCTTAAGTGTATTTGAGATTGAATTTTCCTAGCTGGTGTCAGGTTTTAAAACTGAAATGAAATATTAAAATAGCAAAAATCTGTGGGGTTTTTTCTAACAAGTATAGAAATTTCACATGCATTTCAATTTTTTTCTATTCCACTGTCCATATTTTCTATTCCACTGTCTATATTTTTTCTATATTCTATTTCTGTATTCTGCTGATATATGTGTCATTCGGGATGTATAGCCAAAATGTTAACAATTTCACTGTATTTCTTTTCGGAGTTAGAAAAAAAATGATGACGATGAATCAGAAATCAAGAAACAGCTGTCTAAATATGACTCTCAACTTTCAGCAAATGATGACAAAATAGATGTAGATGATAGTAAGTTTCAATGAACTTTGTATAAATATCTTCTAAAATCTTTGTGAAATGTATTTATGGCAATATAGGAGAATCTGAGATCTATATTAGCTTGGAAGCTTTCGATTTTTAAGTAGAATAAAATTAATATAAATCCCTGTGTACAAAACATGTTTTTTTCCCCTGTTTTGTATGTGTTTATCTGCAGTTTGAAAAAGGCTACAATTTTCCTGTGGGTACTAAGAGCACTAGAAGGTTTAAGGAAAGCAAGAATGAACAAAAATAAAATACATGATATTATTTTCAATCTTAAATGCATTATAGATTTCACTTTCTAATACAGTATTGGATATAAAAAGGAGAAATTGTTTTTCTCTCCTAAAAGATCTCCCTGTTGTCTCCTCATCTCTGACAAATATATTAAAAAGTGAATGAGAATTGTCCACTGCCTTTAATAAAAACCATTTCATTACAGAGGGTAATGAATGAGATACATTCTGTTAAGAAACATTGTCATAAAACAGTGCTGACTTATCATTTATACACAGTCTCATTTTTTCAGCTCCTTCCGTGTTCCAAATATTAACATAGGGAAGATAAACTTGAAGTAGGGTGGCCAATATCCATCTGAGTACTTGGCAATCTAGTTAAGTTCCCATTTATGTCCCAAGGTTTTGAAAAATGGCTGCTACAGTTATAAAGAAAAACCTTCCAGAAAGTCCAATAATTGTAATAGAGTGTGTAAGTGGTGTAGAAATTGTTTGGAATATTCCTAACTAATTTCATAATTTTTCATCCTCAATCATCATTAATATAGCAGTTAGCAATAGCAGTTAGACTTATATACCGCTTCATAGGGTTTTCAGCCCTCTCTAAGCAGTTTACAGAGTCAGCATATTCTCCCCAACAACAATCCGGGTCCTCATTTTACCCACCTCGGAAGGATGGAAGGCTGAGTCAACCCTGAGCCGGTGAGATTTGAACAGCCGAACTGCAGAACTGCAGTCAGCTGAAGTAGCCTGCAGTGCTGCATTTAACCACTGCGCCACCTCGGCTCTTAAATATAATGATTTAAACGTTGTTAGCAAGTCTCCTGCATTTCTCTTACTAGAGCTATTTTGGCAAACATGATCTTAGTTTCTCTTTATTGCAACCTCTTCATTCCTGCTTTTTTTTCCTCCATAAGAGCGTCTCTTCATTGTCATTTATTTGTGTATTCCCCCGCTCCTCCTTTTCGGGCCTTGGAGTCAGTGCCTGGACAATGCCTTGTCAGCATTTTTTAGAAATGGTGTATCATTGCCTGCTTCTAACACTGAGAAGGAGCAGCTGGCATCAGGTATACCCAGCTGGCTTTGCGCCCGAGGCAGGACTAAAATTTGTGATCTCCCACTTGTATCTTAACCACTATACCAAGTGGCTCTTACTATACACCATCTCTTCTTTTTTCTCACCCAGAGATTTTGCAGAGAGATGATTGATGTTTACTGTCCTTGCGTCTCTAGATTCTGCTACGTAGTTATTATTATAAATACTATAAATTGTTAGCTAAATAAATATATATATATATATATATAGTGAGGCATCCCTGTGCTATGTTGATCCATCAGAAGTTGATTTGGCCTTTAGGAGTAAGTTTTGAAAATGACTGTTCAGTTTGCACTGCTAAGTAATTTTTACACGCTGCACGATAAGGGTGTAGAACCATTTGTGCTGGCGGACACATCAGGAATTTTGAAACTATGCAACGGGAGTTGTTACTAAATAGTTCCCATTGTAATGGGGGGAAAAATCCTGCCCTTTTTTTTTAAAGGTTGCTATGGTGGCCCTGACAAAAATCAGGTCATGAGGAATGTTCCAGGATACTCCCTATTATCTTCACTTTTTTTAACCCCAGGCATGTGGACGCACCTACAAATGAAACACATAGGTTATAATCATTTTTTTCAATGTTTTCATTAATGCCACTTTTTTATGAGTGCAATCTACTTTTGAAAAAAGTGAGACAGGAAACCTGATGGTTTGTATTTATCTTGATTATTATTGGGTATGTGTTGGAACCTGGACTTTAGATGCATTTATTCATAGGGCAGTTTTTAAACATGATTCTAAACATGTGGCATAATGCACGGTTAAAGTGTGCCTGCCTTTCATAGGTTTGTCCTAAAACATAAAGTAGATCAAAACATTACTTACTTGCATGGTATACTTCCAATAAAAACATGTGAAAATAAAACAGTTAAGAGTCTTTTAGCAATATAGCAATTGTTCTAATTATTTCTTTTTTTTTAATCAATTGGATAATTATTTGAGTTGTTTTCTTTTTTTTCCCCCTCCAAGGGCCTGAAAATTATTTGGGGGTGCTTTCTCAAGAGCCATCAAATTTCCTATCTCAGAAACCCATGGTACAAGAAGAAGAGGAGGTCATGATCGCCCCCATCCACAAAGAGACAGCTGATCATGAATATGAATCCAGGGGATGTAGAAACAAATGCCATTCACACCTGCATGACACCCTAGGGCAAACAGATCATCTCAGTCACCATCACCATGACTACCATCATATTTTGCATCACCATCACCATCAAAACCATCACCCACATAGCCATAGCCAGCGGTATTCACGCGAGGAATTGAAAGATGCTGGGATCGCTACCTTAGCTTGGATGGTGATAATGGGAGATGGCTTGCATAACTTCAGTGACGGTCTCGCAATTGGTGAGTGCTTTATGTATTGGCTTCCCTGTGGCTGCTAGTCCATACATGTAAATGGGAGAGCAGCATTGCAGCAACATTTTTTGTAAATGCACAAGAGGAATAATAATAATAAAAAAGATTTTTGTTAAAATTAAGCCTGCGCGATTCTTAGTATTTTCCCAGCCAATTTATAAATATCTCAGAAATTCCGAATTCATTAAAATGCATGTTTCATTTGTTAAACATAGCTAGCGCTTAGGTAGACGTGAATCTGATTTGTCTGTCTTCCTGGCTCTGTTAATAATTGGTTACTTTTTCCTGTTATAACCAAGAATCAAGATGTCTAAAGTACATAAAGATTGCATGTGGTCCTCTCTTAACAACCACTCATTCTCCAGTGTTCTGAGCAGAGAATCCAAAGAATGGGTTAACTCTGCCCTTCTACCCAAAGACTGGGTCCTTTTAAAGTTTGCAGCCACGCCCCCTCTCCAGTTTTTGATGAAAACAGAGAGAGAGAGAGAGAGAGAGAGAGAGAGAGAGAGAGAGAGAGAGAGAGAGAGAAAGAGAGAGAGAAAGATGGATTGGAGGAGAGCTCTTCAGAGCAACATGGCAGAGTTAAATTCTTAGGATTCTCAGCGGTTTACGAGGTTCCTTGGAACAGCGCGGGTTTCAGAGAGCAGCGCGATTTTTCAGGTGAGCGCTGCAGCCGCTTCGGCTGTCAGCTGTTCGGCGAGAGAGGGAAACAGCTCCTGTCAGCTGTTTGTCGGTGAATGGCGTGGAAGGCCGCCACAACAATCAGCTGTTAGGAGGAAAGAAAGTTCCTACAACTCACCTGGCTTACCCCGGTTTAACCGGCACAGCCACTGCAACGATATGGCTGGCTACCCGTTGGATTGGCACAGCTGCAACGATTGCACTCTGAGACTGGCATAGCCGAGAGACCAAAGACCATTCAAACTTACAATGGTGTTGAATGAATGGTAATTATGACTCGGTGGGAAAGCCAGCAGTGAGCCACAAATGGTAGCCATGCGACATACTCAATTAAACTGCTGTTAATTCACTTAATGACAGAAACTGAAGATGCTAGAATGGATGTTGGTAAATAGTATGGTTATGCGAAGCCGTGTTTTATGACTGTGTCACTTAGCAACAGAAATTCAGGTCCCAACTACTATTGTTAAGTGAAGATTATCTGTAGCAGGGCTGGGTTTCAACCGGTTCGCGGCGGTCCCCACGAACCGGTTGGTCGGTGAACCCG